TATATATATATATATATATATATATATATATATATATATATATACATACATACATGACTGTATCTTGTTTCTCTGTGATAGAACTTGGATAATATAGTTTTATCAACAGGCTTCACCTCATGCAACATGTGGCCAGCCCCATTTTCTTTCCTAGATAGCTTTCTTTGTTAGCTACATATACCTGATATTTCTTTTTTATTTTTATTATTAGTTGCATTTTATTAACTCTGTATCCCAGCTGTATCCCACTCCCTCATTCACTCCCAATACCACCCTCCCTCTCTCATCTTCTTCCTGCCCCTTCCCAAGTCCCCTGATAGGCGAGGACCTCCTCCCCTTTCATCTGACCCTGTTTTGTCAGGTATCTTCAGGACTGGCTGCAAAGTCCTCCTCTGTGACCTAGCAGGACTGCTCCTCTCTTGTATACCTGATATTTCTATAGCATCTTTTGTTAGCTACAAATATTTGAAAATTGTAAAATATGAATTGTTAAATTTAGTATCAACTTTACTCCTTTCCCCTAACCTATGAGCAGGAAATTTAAGAGAAAACTCTTCTCCTTCATGGAATATTTTATTTGATTTCTAGGTTATCACAGTCTCATTTCCTTTAGGTTTTCACATCCTGTCTTAGTCTCTAGACAATAGTCTTTAATATCTCACAGATGCCTGATACATTCAAGTTTATCATATCCATCCATGGAATTTTTTCTTTTAATTTTATATCGATTTTCATAAGTCTACACAATAATTTAAAAGTTCAAAGCTGAAATCTTCATTTTATCACCTTGTTTCCTTATGTATTACTTCAAACAGAAAAAAAAACACATTTCTTCCTTCCAGATATATTGGCTGAAACATTTGAATTGATTAGTAGTTCACCATTTCTCACTGTACCTGAGAGCAATCTCTTACCAAATCCCTAGTCTTAAATTGTATGAAGCATCCAGTTGCTTCCACCAGTTCCTTCAAAACCTACCAGCTGCATTTCATGCCGTTGTGCTCTGCTGATCACAGGGTATGCCTTGCTATAGACATGACCCTATGCATGCTAACACCTGAGGACATGTCCAGACAACCAACTTCTAGTCGATTCATTATCTCTGAGTGTTTCTTGACCTTGTTGCTCAGGACTCAGTGGTGTTTAGAATAGAATTCCGTCTTCAGTTAAAATAATGTATCATGTGCTACACAGATCCTAATTTTAGTCTAGCAATCACCCTACTGGCTGATCTATTGCACACATTCACTGAACTCTGTTTTTAATCACAAGGATTGCTCTCAGATATGTATATTTTAGAAATTTGCTGTGACACCACATCCATCTTTCCTCCTCCATGCATCACATGTGTCAAGTTGTGTGGTCCCCTGAAAGATGAAATCCTGGAAGGGAAGGGCAGATAACGTGTGTGCCTTTTAGTCTTCTCATTATAGTAAGTGTGAGCCAATTATTGCTGCCGAGTCAAACTATCCTATGCAGATGTGTATATTCAAATCTGTATACTTACATATTATACTCAATTACATATTATATATACTTATATAATATACAAGTATATATGTTCTATAAGTACTATAATATATAACTAAAAATTATGTTGTATAATATGTTAAGTATGTGTTAATTAATTACTATATATTATATGAGTCTATATATAATCTATGTACTAATACAGAGCATATCTATATATAATTGACATCGTTATAAAACAGTTCTTCTCGACATTCTTATTTACTGGTTATTTTGTTATTTATTATATAAAAATTGTATTAGAATATTTAAATATGATGTTATAAAGTAATAAAATGAAGCATTGGTAACTTCTAAATATAAATAGATGTCTACGAAAGGATGATTTTGAAATAAGCAGTTATTTCTCCCTTTTTAAGTAGAGAGTTTGTTCATAAGGGTTTAAGCTTTGATGAAGTAAAATATTATGGTAGGAATATAATGTTATATTCTTTAACATTTCAAAATAGAAAAATATATAATAAAACTATATATACTCATAATATATGTACACATATAATACAAGGTTTATAACATAAATGACTTACTTTATATAATAAAAACATAGTTTCCTCTATTGGCCTGAATTATAAATTATAGTTAGAGAATATAAAATATGGAATGCTGGGTTGCTCTCGCTTTGGTGATCTATTGTGATCTTTTATCTTACCTCACCAGCTTCAGCATTTTCACAAACATAAGTCTCATAGAACTGAGAAAATTCAGGAGCATGATCATTAATGTTAAAAACTTCCACATAAACAGGAACTGAAGACTTCTGCTGAATATTGTCTGCAAATTGAAGATGTAGAATGGAATTAATTGTATCTCTATTAAAATTCATGCAATACATTAAGTTAGAGGTTTGTTTGTAGTTATATTTTCACCCGAGGAAAGAAAAAGATGGGGCTTATGTGATCACCAGTAATAAAGGCCAGAAAAAGAATCTATGTTCACATCAAACACTATTTATTGTGTGCATTTTATGTGCTGTGGATTTAGGTCATGATGAGAAAAAAGTGAATAAAAGAGTGTTCTATGGATACTTTGCTGACAATTAGGAGGTTCTGGAAGTGTGTATAAGTGTCCAATGCATTATAGTAGAAACAGGAATTACTATTCTTTCCAATGTTCACACTCACACACGAAAATCACTTTCATTATAAATTACCTGAAGTCCTAACAGAACTAAAAATCCTTTATAAAGGCCATAGTAAACAATATTACAAAAAACTACAATGAGGTCATAACTTACAAAGTATAAATGAATACTCAGTACAGAATGAACATAGAAAGACACAAATAGTTAAAAGTAAAATAAATCTTTAAAAATATAAATATAAGGATCACTAAACAATGAATGTTAAAATCCCTGTTTATCTTAAAATGAACTGTTTATTATATCATCATCATCATCATTATTGTTGTTGTTGTTATTATTATTATTATTTGGGAGGAATTGTTTATTTTTTTGTTTTGTTTTGCTTCCATATCACAGTTCAACACAAACGGCAGTTATGGAAGGAACTCAAACAGGAGAATAACCTGGAGGTGAGAGCTCATGCCGAGACCATGGGGGAGTGCTGCCTATTGCCTTACTCTTCGTTGGTGGTGAGGACTCCTTTCTCACTGCACTTAGGAGGCCTATCAGCTGAGAGACAACAGCATCCACTGTTGTCTGGGCCCTCCCACATCAATAATTCGTTAGGAAAATGTTCCACAGAGTTGGTTACAGAGAGTCTGGTTGGGCATTTTGTCAGTGGAAGTTCCCTTTTTTCCTGGTGATACCAGGTTGTGTCAAGTAGACATAACACTGGCCAGCACACGTGGTAAGCAATTATGAGTGAGCCATCTCCACAGCTGCAGGCCTTAATTTCTGTTGGTCCTTGAGGTTGTTGGCAAAATGAGACCTTCTTGACGTGAGTTTCTGGAGCTGGTGGATAAAATAGCTTCCGTATTCAATGCAGTTCTGGATGCAGCAATGAAAGGGATCTTCAGGTAAAGAAAAAGCAATTCCAAGGAGGAGAAAAGAAAGAAGAAATCATGGAGGCTTAGGCTTCGGTTATCCACGGAAACTGTGAGAAGTCTAAGTGGTGAAGTCTATTTGACCATCTCTGAAATTCATGCTGTAAACCAGAGCTGGCAACAGAGAGCAAAAGGCAGGGGGCGCATGGACAGACAGCCTGGGGATACTCAGGCCTACTGACCCCAGGAAAAGGAGGCAGCCTGCAGCACACCCAAGTGCCATCCTGGGGTTACAGTGTCAGCTGCTGCATTGCACAAACGAGATCTTAGTAAGGCCCTTCCTTCTGGGTCACCTGTCTCATCTCTGGGAAGGGAAAATTAGTGCTGATGGCTTCAGTGGGAGGGGATGTGTTTAGTCCTACTGCAACTTGGGATGCCAGGGTGAGCTGGTACCCCTTGGGAACATCCTTTTCTCTGAGAAGAAGAAGAGGAGAAATGGGGAAGGTGCATGAAGATGGGACTGGTAAGAGATGAAGGAGGGGCCTGGGATCAAGCTGTAAGTAATTCCATAAATAAATAAATAAATAAATAAATAAATAAATAAATAAATAGATAGATAGATAGATAGATAGATAAATAAATAAATAAAGGGAAAATGATATAGAAAACACAGATTAGTAAGACACATCAGAAAACGTTCAGATGAACTATTTATACTTTCCTAACTTCACCACTGAAGTCTGGGACCAGATGATCCCTGTGGGAAGCTGAACATTGACCTTAGTCCCCATTCACAACAGCATTATGACTTTGTTGTGACTAGAACATAATTATTGGACACTGCTACATGTATATTGGAGCTTTCTCTGTTTCCATTTGGGGTTTCGTGTATACTCAATATATTACTCTGTAAATTAAAAGTACAGTATATATTAGCCATTAAATTTATAAAAGCAAATTAAAATAAATTTTAAGATGCTTATTTTTTTTTGTAAAACATAAATGTGAACACTTACTTTTTTCTAAAAGAATATATTGTTTGTTTTTAAACTGTAAAATCTCTTTTGCTAACATTTTACATATATACATATTGGACTATATAATAAAGGAAATTAATTTATTGCTGTATAACTTAATAAAATTGGGAATTAACAAACCCATCCTTTTAGATATAAAAAACAAAAAGGTACATATATGATCAATCCACTAGAATTATATGCTTATACTTCGTAATTAATACTTAACAGCAGCAAAATCAACAGGGAAAACACATTTGAAAAGAAAGGATAGAGATACAAAAGGACAATTACTAAATGACAAAATTCACTCCATTATTTTACAAATGTAAATCAGAATATCAATACAGAGATACATTTTATTATTTTTCATACATGCATTCCACCAATAATTGCTATTTTTATTTATTTTTTAATATTAGTTACAGTTTATTAACTTTGTATCCTAACTGTAGCCTGCTCCCTCATTCCATCCCAATTCCACCCTCTCTCTCTCACCTCCTCCCTGCCCCTTTCCAAGTCCTCTAATAAGGGAGGTCCTCCTTCCCTTCCATCTGACCCTAGCTTATCAGGTTTCTTCAGGACTGGCTGCAAAGTCCTCCTCTGTGGCCTAGCAAGCCTGATTCTCCCTCGGGGTGGGGAGTGAGTCAAAGAGCCAGCCATAAAGTTCATGGCAGAGATAGTCCCTGTTCCCCTTACTAGGGTACCCACTTGGATACTGAGCTACCATGGGCTACATCCAAGCAGGGGTTCTAGGTTATATCCAAACATGGTCCTTGGTTGAAGAATCAGTTTCTTAAAAGACCCCTGTGCCCAGATAGAATTGGTCTTTGTGGAGCTACTGTCCTTTCCAGGTCTTAGTAACTCCCCCTTCTTTCATATGATTCCCTGCACTCTGCCGAAGGTTTGGTTAAGAGTCTCAGCTTCTGCTTTGATACACTGCTAGGTAATCTCTCAGAGTCCCTCTGTGGCAGGCTCTTGTCCTGTTACTTGTTTTCTTCTACTTCCAATGTCCATTCCCTTTGTCTTTCTGAGTGAAGACTGATCATCTCATCCTGGGTCCTCTTTCTTGTTTATCATTTTTAGGTGTACAGATTTTAGTATGTTTATCCTATCTTATAGGTCTAGTACCCATTTATAAGTGAGTACATACTGTATGTGTCTTTCTGCTTTGAGGATACCTCACTCAGAATGATCTTTTCTAGATCCCACCATTTGCCTGCAAATTTCATGATTTCCTTGTTTGCTGAGTAGTATTCCATTTTGTAAAAGAACCATAATTTCTGTATCCATTCTTCTGTTGATGGTCATCAGGGTTGTTTCCAGGTTCTGGCTTATTATGAATAAAGCTGCTACAAACATGGTTGAGCAAATGTCCTTGTTGTGCACTTGAGCATCTTTTGGAAATTGGGGACGAGCCTAGAACTCATTGGCACGGGAGAAAACTTTCTGAATAGAACACCAACAGCACAGGCTCTAACATCAACAATCAATAAATGAAACCTCAAGAAACTGAAAAGCTTCTAGAAAGCAAAAGACACTGTCATCAGAAAAAAACGACAGCCAGCAGACTGGGAAAGGATCTTCACCAATCCTATATCTGACAGAGGGCTGATATCCAGAATATATAAAGAAGTTAAAAAAAAAACAATAAATCAAGCAATCCAATTAAAACATGGGGTATGAAGCTAAACAGAGAATTCTGTGTAGAGGAATATAGAATGGCAGAGAAACACTTAAAGAGATGCTCAACATCCTTAGCCATCAGAGAGCTGCAAATCAAAACGACCCTGCAATTTTGCCTTATACCCATCAGAATGTCTAAGATCAAAAACTCAAGTGACAACACATGTTTTATAGGTTGTGGAGAAAGGAGAACCCTCCTGCATTGCTGGTGGGAATGTAAACTTGTACAACCACTTTGGAAATCAATCTGGTGCTTTTTCAGACAAATAGGAATAGTGATTCCTCAAGATCCAGCTATACCATTCCTAGGCATATATCCAAAAGAATAACTGGTGTTATAGCTAAGATTGATGTCATTCTAAAAGTACCACTAATATTTTGGCATTAACCTAGGTAAATACCATAAGCCTCCTAAAAGCATTCTTTTCTGAGATTTTTGTCTTTCTTTAAAATAAAAGGACATATGAACATAAAAGACTCGTTATTTTTACCTCCCATTTCGGTGAACTTGCTCTTAGAATCCTGTGTTGCCATGCTGATATAGAGGATAGGTAGAACCTAAATCTAGGTATATGACATGATTTTGGCAAGTGTGAGTGATAATTATCTGCAGCAAGGCTGATAACTGAAAGTTTAATGGAGAAGGCATTTTAGGCCATCTTTATCTCTACTCTTTTCAGAATGTTCCTTCTGTGCCTTGTCCCAAGATGACCAGGATGCTCTTTATACTTTATACTCAAAGACGTGAATGAAAGAAATTCAGCTTGACAGTGTTGACAGTTGTTGCTCTTTCATGTTACAGTTAGATGCCTTAAAGTCACTGATCCAACTTCTCTCTGCCACTAAGATATTTGGTTCCTGAAGAATAAAAAATGAACTATGGACTGTAGATTCTAAATGCTTTGCGTAATTATTGAGACAAAAAATTATTGAGAAAAAGGCTTAATAAAAAAAGTACCTGACACATGTATACATTTTCCTTTACAAAACCCCAAACTACAAGAGTCTCCCCTAAAGAGACCACAGAATAGTACTACACAAAAAATGAAAAACAAAACAAAACAAAGTAACAAAGACACCAAACAAACAAACATAATAACAGAAAAACCAACAAATTATAACTAA